CAGGACCTTACACTTGCGAAGCTGGCAGTAGTGGAACCACTGAGCTAAATCCTCGGCTCCCAACTTTATAATTATTATATAACTTCCACTGTGTTTTTTGGCAGAAGAGCTTATAATTGCTTTTTTTTTTTTTTTTTGGTACCAGGAATTGAACTCAGGACCTTACACTTGCGAAGCTGGCAGTAGTGGAACCACTGAGCTAAATCCTCGGCTCCCAACTTTATAATTATTATATAACTTCCACTGTGTTTTTTGGCAGAAGAGCTTATAATTGCTTTTTTTTTTTTTTTTTGGTACCAGGAATTGAACTCAGGACCTTACACTTGCGAAGCTGGCAGTAGTGGAACCACTGAGCTAAATCCTCGGCTCCCAACTTTATAATTATTATATAACTTCCACTGTGTTTTTTGGCAGAAGAGCTTATAATTGCTTTTTTTTTTTTTTTTTGGTACCAGGAATTGAACTCAGGACCTTACACTTGCGAAGCTGGCAGTAGTGGAACCACTGAGCTAAATCCTCGGCTCCCAACTTTATAATTATTATATAACTTCCACTGTGTTCTTTGGCAGAAGAGCTTATAATTGCTTTTTTTTTTTTTTATGGGTACCAAGATTTACAGTCTTGCAAGGAGATACCATATAAATTATAGAGAAGGAAAAAGACAGATATATTTATCTGTTCTCACATATTAAATTCCCTGGATGAAATGCCAAAATACACAGCTTAGGGCCAGGGACATAACTCAGTGCCACAAGGCCTGCCTGTTAAGTGTGAGGTCCTGAGTTTGATTTCAGTTACCCAAAAAACAACTCCAAATGCATAGCTTATAAACAGCCTTTGAAGACGAAGATGTTGACACAGTCCAAAACAAGAGTATGGGGTATTAAGATTACACCACTGTTAACTTTCAGTGTCAAGCTGCCTGCCGGCGAGGGCCTTTCATCATCAAAGACTTATTGTGTCTGACACTCAAGTCTGTGGCGCACATTCGGATCATTCCCCAGCACTGTTCGCGGGCAGAACCTCAAGACTGAGGAAAGGGTTGAGATTTCCTACATCCGTGCTTCAGTGTTTAAACAACAGCTTCAGAGCAACTTTCGTCCTGTCCTAGAAGCCACGTTGGACGCAGGCCAGGCCAACACTTCCTCAGGCCTCAGGAGACAGCGCAGGGGCTCCCCAGGTTCACCTCCACTGCAGACCCCCGGACTGTGTCCCCAGGAGCCCTCTGTGACCTTGCTCGGAGGGGAGGGGCTGACCAGGACCACCTGGCTCTTCCCTGCTGTCCTGTGCACCTTCCCTTCAGCCAGGGAAGAGGGAGAAGGGAAACAGTGTCCACGGGCAGGGAGCTGAGGCCAGGGACTAATTTGGGCTCCTTGAGCGCAGTCTCAGCGGCCTGTGGCTGTGAGGGAGGAGAGAGCAGGCCTGGGTGCCAAAGGCCCAGACTTCAGCCAGACTATGCCCAGCCGGGGTGCGGCAGCTGCACTGCCTCCCCAGGGTTAAACTCCCGAAGCCCCAGGGTGGTGATTGGTAATATTTTGCACAAATACTGTGGGCACCAGATTACACAGTGAAAATGAGGCAGGAAGAGGAAGCAGACAAGAGTCCATGGGGCTGAAACCAAGGAAGGCGACCTGTGGTCCCCAGAGGACACTGGCGTCGGTGGTCTTCAGCCTCTCTCTCCAGGAAGGGCGGTGGAGACTCAGGAGCCCCGGCCGACACAGAAGCTGGTCAGCCCTACAGGAGCAGGGACTGTGGCCACCACAGGACACAACAGCGTCCAGCCTCACCCACCCACCACAGATGACAGGGAAGCCAGAGACAACTCTGACAAATGCCATCCGTATCACCTTGCAGTCTGTTGGAAAGAGCTCTCCACTGCTGTTTCTTTTCACCATGCTCAGGGACCCAGCTGTTGGGACAGCTGCAGCGTAAGATAAGGAAAGTGGCCTATAGGTTTGGCTCAGGTGAAGACGACCGGCATCCGGGGAAAAGCAGGCTGAGCCAGCCTGGGTGACACAGCGAGACCCAGTCTCAAACCATCCCTCCAAAAAACACATGTTATACAGGACAGAGGCTTCCACTTGGGTGATGAGAGAGGGCCATGGGAGGAACAGGCCTCCTGCGAAAGGCCAGACTACAGAACAGGAAGAAAAGGAAGTGTGAAGAGGGCAGGGTGGAAATGGACGGGTGCTCTTAGAACACCAGTGAGGCTTTCCCAGCAAGTCTCTGTCACCCGCCCTTGATTCCCAAAATCTCACCCCTTTTTTATTTTTTTTTCCCACCCCTTTTTTAAATGAAAGCTAGGTATTCTTTCTGTTGGTGGTGCTGAGGCAGTCTCACTACGTAGCCTAGGCTGGCCTTGAATATGCTATCATCCTGCTCAGCTTTCCTAGTGCTGGATCACAGGCATGCGCTGCCACACCCATCTGACCCTTACTCCTGTCACAGGAAACTTCCTCAAATTGCCCACAGCGGCCCTAAACTGTGTAAGGGGGCTGGGCGCATGGCCCTTCGCAGTGGGATCAGCCCCAGCCTCCCTCTGAATGACTCTGGGGCGGCAGTTAACTTTGTGTACTCCCAGGCAGGTGTTCACGGAATACCTGCTCTGCTGGGACGCACATTCTAGTGGGAGGAGACGAATAAACTAAGAACGGAACATACAGGACGCTAGCGGTGCTGAGCACTGAGGGAAGACCGAGCTGGGAAGGCTGGGCGGGAGGAAGGCCAGGGCCAGCCTCTCCGAGGGTGCATGCAGAGCAGGGGACATCGCCAGGCTGGTGAGCCAGAGGCCTCGATGCCGCAGGGGCACAACCTAAAGATCATGGGCTCAAGAAGAATTTGTCATTTTTTATTTTTTGAGGACCATCTCACTATGTAGCCCAGTCTGGCCTTGAAGTCGCTATGTAGCCAAGGGTGGCCTCAAACTCCTGGCAATCGTCCTTCCTTGGCCTGCTCAGTCCTGAAATTACAGTCCTGTACCATCATGTCCAGCTTCAGTAAGGACTTGGGCTTCTGCTGACTCACATGAGAAGACATCGGTTTTGTCCGAAGCGTAACATGACCCGACTCGTGTTTTCAAAGGCTCCTTCCGGTGGCTGCGTTAAGAAGAGCGCGTGGGGCTTGGGCTGACTGGAAAGCCAGAGGGAACCCATAGGGAGAAGACGGTGGGTGGCACCAGGGCTGAGAGAGTGGACAGGGCTGACGGCTCAGGTCCCAGATCAGTCCTGCGGCACAGCTGACAGGGATCACTGGGGACTGAGACTGGAGAGAGAGAGGAGCTGAGGCTGACTCCTAGGGTTTGGGCTTTCGTCTTTTTGCTAAGTCACGGAAGGATGAAGTTGAGTTTTGAGCTAAGAAAGCCCCGAAGCACACATGCACGTGTGAGTATATTTGCAGGGATGAGTCAGGGTAGAGGAATCACACATTTGGTTCAGGATACATCAGTTTCCTCGGCCTGGCAGAAATCAAGCAATGACATCAGGACACAGATGGTCTAAATGTCAGGAGCCTGGGACAGAGCCAGGGACAGAGGGCCCCGACTGGATCACTGGGCGGGGGTGGGTCACAGGGGTTCGAGGACGTGGCCTGGCTGCCAGGAGAGGCTGGAGAGGAGGGGAGGAAGGTAGCAGCAGAGGGGCAGAGTAAGGAAGGCAGGAGCAGCCACCTGCCAGAATGCACAACAAGCAGGAACCAAGCGGAAGTCAGGCAGTGCTGCTGACAGAAAGAGAAGGCCAGGGCTGGAGAAGTGGCCACGGGGTTTTAAATGAGCTTGGTGGTATATGACCATAATCCCAGCACTCTGGAGGCTGAAGCAGGAGGATCAGCACAAGTTCAAAGCCAGCCTGGGCTATATACAGAGGGAGACCTGGCCTCAAAAAAAAACAAAACAAAACAAAACAAAAATGTTTAAAATAAAAACTTTTCTCTATGCCTTTCTCTTTATTAGTTGATTTTCAAGTATTTATTGCACGCTAACAGCAACCTGACCCATACATATACCTTATCTATAGCCATCACCGAATTCATCACTAAAGCCGACAATTTTCTTAGTACCCAATAAGTTCCCTTCAAAATACATATTTGAACTTATTTTTTTGTTTTGTTTTGTTTTTTGAAACGATCTCACTCTGTAGTTCAGGCTGGTCTTGAACTCACTTTATCACCCAGGCTGGCCTCAAACTCATGTTGATCCTCCTGCCTCAGCCTCCTGAGTGCTGGGATTATAGGATTATAGGCGTGTGCCACCATGCCTTTCTCTGAACTTCTTTTTGGTTTTTTGAGACAGGGTCTCACTATGTAGTTGACACTAACCTGAACTCACTATGTAGCCCAGGCTGGTCTCGAACTCATAGCAATCCTCCTGCCTCAGCCTCCCGAAGGCTGGGATTACAGGTGTGCACCACCATACCCGGCCTCTCTAAACTTAAAACAACATCTATGGCAAACAATACCATCACTCCCTGAATTAAACCAAACCCCAAAGATTTTGTGGATGACTCTGGCACTCAGAGAGGTTAAGAAATAAGTGCCAAGTCACACAGCCCTAAGTGGCAGATCTGAACTTCCAATCCAGGTTCACGGACCCCTAAAGCAGGTGAGAATGCAAAAGAGAATGGCCTGGCCACTAGAGGTGTCACCACTTGCATTGAGCAATTATCATCAGGCTTCAGTAGCAGGCTGGCTAGCACTTCAGTCAGGAAACATCCAAGACAGCTGCTTGAGCACAGAGCACACTGGAACTGCGACTCCCTCAGCACCTGACAGGCACGCACAACATACAGTTCTCCCCGCTCTGAATACACTGGAGGGAGATCAGAAAGGCCCAGAAGAAAGCCCTCAGGAAGCTCCTCCCTCCTGGCTTTGAAATCTGGCCCAGCCCTGCCTGGCCAGGTGGGGTCTCCTGACAAAATGCCCCTTCCGCTGAGAGACGCCAACTGGCATGGGCTGTGCGTGCGGCCCGCAGTGGTATCAATGTGGTTTGTGTAAATGCGGCTCATTACCTGGCTCCACATCAGAAGAGCAGGGGACAGAATGGAAGTCCGCAGAGCTCAGGCTGTCTCCGCCGACGCCCACGCTGGGGCCAGGTCTCCGCAGCAGCACGTAGTCTCCGATTGCACTGGCTGAGGGAAGGTCCAAGCTGTCCCCCCGCGGGCTCTCTGCAGCGGCCATCGCCCTGCAGCGGGGAGAACAAAGCGACTCAGCAGAGCACACTGCACAGCCCCACCTTCCTGAGATGAAGCCTCCGCAGGCCGGAGGTCTCCCTTCGCGCTACCTACCGGCTGGCTCTTCCTTAGACCCACTACTCTCATACCCTGTTTTCTTCCCAGGAGAAAGGTTCCTGGCAGAAAGAAACCATTAGTAATTTCAGCGAGAAAACAGGCTGCACGTCTGAAAATGGGGATGATTCAATCACAGAAATACTGGGTAGCACTACGGTAAATCAAGCACTATCTGATGAGCCAGGCATGACAGCCAGCACCTGGAATCCCAGCACACAGGAGCTGAGGAAGGGAGATCACGAATTTGAGGCCAGCCTGGGACACAGAGCAAGCTCTCCAGGCCAGCCTAGACCTCATAGTGAGACTCTACCTAAAACAAGTATTTGATGAGGGAAAATTATGATATATTAAATACAAAAAGATTTAAATAGGCAGGGTTTGATCAAGGTTTTATAAAGTAAAATTGTGTGTGTATATGTACATACGTGTGTGTGTGTGTGAAATATAGGGACATAAAGCTAGAGGCAAACATTATAGAGTACTAGGGCGCTTGCCTAGCATGCAAGGCCAAGTTTCATCCCCAGCACTGCAAAAAAAAAAAAAAAAAAAAAAAAAAAAAAAAAGAAGGTAGCTGGACATGGTGTCACACACCTGTAATCCCAGCACTCCAGAGGCTGAGGCAGGAGGATCTCCTCTAGGTTGAGGCCAGCCTGGGCTACATAGTGAGTTCAAGGTCAGGCTGAACTACACAGAGAGATCCTATATCTAAAAGAGGAAAAATTAGAGGAAAGGAAAAAAGAACGGTCTGAAAGGATGTGTGCCTCATTAATTTCAGTAACTATCTGGGTAAAGAAATCACAAGGACTTACATTCTCCTCTCAGGCCTACGCAGTCAATGAACAAAGCAGTGTTTGTGCCAGGCCTTGGCAATATAAAGGTGACGTCACAGACCCTCCCTCAAGGTGACCCCACTCAGAGATGACGATGTCAACACAGAATCACCACAGAGAGGACCCAGAAAGGGGCCACAGCCATCACCCTAGGTAAGGGGTGTGCCAGGCGTGGCTGTGGCCTGAGGACAGCACGAACTGGAGAGAAACTGCGTGGACAGCTGCACTCAGCAAGGACACTGGGGTCTGAAGGGCGAGTCAAGGACCGGCCACACTGATAACTGAGGGCCGATCGCCATGGCTTGGGCTGGACGGCCACGTAGCCTCCTCCTGCACAGGCTCCGGGAGGACACCAGGCCTCACCGGGGCCCTCAAGGACAGCTTGAGTGTTTCTTGTCAGCACCAGCCATTCTCTCCGGGCCCAGGACCACTGCAGGGCTTCAGGGTAACCCTGGCCCAGGGAGACCCCTCTGCCTCTCGGGCGCAGGCACCACAAACTTTAGGCCACTCAAGGTGTCGTGTGTGCCATGGGAGTAATGGTCACATCTGCACACACGGAGCGGACGGCAGCTAGATCTGCATGCCCTGAGCCCAGTAACCCTGGCAGCAGCCTCGGCAGCAAGGGTTCAGACACCGGCAGTGGCCAGGTGACAGAGGAACAGGTGAACTAAGCCAGGGCCAACATAGGACAGAGATCAAGAATACATTTAAGAGTCAGAACTGGCCATGCCAGCACACACCCGTAATCATAGCTACTTGGGAGCCTGAGGCAGGAGGACTACAACTTCAAGGCAAGCCTGGGCAATTTATTAAGACCTTATCTCACAGTAAAAAAATTCAAAAAGGCTGGGTTGGATCTCAGGACTCCTTGGGTTCAGTCCCCAGCATCAGGGAGGGGTGTGTGCTGGGAATCAATGAAGAGAAATAGCTTAGGTGACTTGGTTTTATTATCAACTGAGTTACAGAAGACTGGAGAAGGAAGAGGCTTCAAAGGAGGCAGTAATTCCAAAACAGAGGACATTACACAGCCATCAAAATGATAGAATATGAAAGGCAGGCATGGTGTAGCACACCTGCAATCCCAGCACTTGGGAGGTCAGAACAGAAAGATCATTGTGGGTTTGAGGACAGCCTGGACTACAGAGTAAGACCCAGTCTCAAAAAATAAAACAAAACAAAAAAACCCTGAAAGATCTCAAAGGCATATGTTTGAATGAGAGGAGCAATTTCAAAATCAGACACACAGGCTGGGCACATCTATAATCCCAGAACTCGGGAGGCTGTGGCAGGAGGATTGCTGTGAGTTTGAGGCCAGCCTGAATCACAGAGTGAGACCCTGTCTCAAAAAAACCAAAATCAGACACACAAGCTTAACCACCACATGGTTTCTCTTCTATGAGAAACCTAAAGTACAAATAGAGAGCAAAATGGAAGAAAGTAGGAAACAAGGAGAGAGATCTTCTGCAAATGGGAAGACCAAGAGGCGGAGGGAGGGGAAGGGGAGGGGATTGAAGATGTGTTATGCACAGGTACCAACTCCCTCGATGAATGCAGTCATTATGTGCTGTGAACATATAAAAGACACACTTTCAGGGTAACATGAGCGGCTCACATTTAAACATCGTCCAACTCTCCATGCCCGCCATAATGACTGGCAGCTCCCCCACAGGAACTCATGGTGGAGGGAGCCCCGCCTGTGCCCTCACTCACAGCCAGACTCAGACCCAAAGGGAGAAAAGTGGCCCGGCAGCCATGGAGAACTCAGCCCCAGCCTGTGTCCACCCTTGCTCAGTGCACAGCCTGCGCCACCAGACAGGCAGGGATGGGAAGACAGAAGCAGATCCACACGGGACCTGGCGGGTCCCTCCTGCTTGAGAGCAGAGTCACACGAGGCATGGACATGCCCTCGGCAGAGTGCGCAAAGAGTGATCTGTTTCTGCACCCCCTGGGTGTTGGTCAGCAGCATCTCAGCCTCCTCTTCCTCCTCCTAACAACACTGCAGACTCCTCTCCTGGAAGGAGGGGACACACAGGTCCCCGGAGGACACTGCCACACCCTGCAACTCATAGAGCCATCGATGCAAGTGTCAAGGGACACAAGGAGCCCTTCTTGAAAACAGTGTGCTGATGGGACAGCTTCCGCTCTGAGAATCAGTTCTATGCAGTGCCAAGGACACCGCAGACAAGGCACTGGGCCAAAATAAAAGCCTCCCAAGGCCTGCCTGGGACAAAGCACTCATGGGCGCGTCTCTTTCTTCCAAGTGTACCATTGGGGCCGCAGCCAATCTGGCAGGCAAAGGCGCAAAGGGACAGACAGCCCTCCTGTTCCCAAACAACCGGGGCCGGCGAGCAAAACACAGGGATTATCCTTCACCCCCAAACCTCTGATACGTGGATCAACTTGCTTCTCTAGAAATGCTTCTCGTGCACTTTTACAGTTCTTTAGGCCAGATACGAGGGTGACACCTGTAATCCCAGCACTCAGGAAGCTGAGGCAGGAAAACTGCAAGCCCAAACCCAGCTTTGGCAACTCAATGACTCAGCAAGACCCTGTCTCAAAGAATGAAAATTAAAATACGGTGACCCGGCTCCATGGAAGAGTACCTGCCTAGCCTGTGTAAGGCTCTGAGTTCAAAACCCGTTGGGAGGTAAAGGAGGTGGCACAGGCCTGTAATCCACTACTCGAGGGGGTCCAGGCAGTGCAAATTGGAGTCCAGCTTGGGCAACTCAGCAACTTAATGAGACCCCATCTCAAAATAAAAAAAATGTTTTAAAAGGTTGGCAATGACTACCCCAAAAAATAAAATATAAAACTAAGAAGGGGCTCACTTCTTCAGCTCTACCTCTGTTCTGTGGAGCTCCCTGACGTCTTCCCTTCCAAAGAGGCCTTTCTCGGACTATTCCCCCTCCTCTTTCCCTGCCGGGCTGCCTGTTCACTACTCCTCCGCCCGCCCAGACCCCTCTCCGGGCCTTAGAATCCACCTAGACCCAGCCCTCTGTAAGGAAAGTTAAAACTTTAAATTGGAAAGGCTTGGGTTAAGGCTTTCGGCTCTCTAAGGCGCATAATCACTAGTTCACCTCTTCTTTCCCTGGATACCTGGCCAGTTCCCTGGAAAAAAGCATGAAGGACTTTGTTAAAAAGACCAGATGTTCTTAACATCAAGATAAGGAATGTGATGCATTCCGCCCCTCCCGGACCCCTGGCCAGGGCCTGGTTGGGACGTGACTGCAAGCACATTCACCTTTTTCGCGCCAAAAGTACAGGTAGTTTTACTACCTATGTCTAGAGAACTATATAAACAGCCCACCTAGCCCAGGCTGCTGCTGCTGTCTTACGCCCGGGATTGAGACCTGCAGCCAAGCATGCCGGTTGTTGCCAGAGAGCCTAAGGGTAATTTCCCGGATAGAGTCCCTCTTGCTGTTAGAGGACTCTCTTTCTTTGTCCTCTCCATTCTTACTTTTGTTTTCTGTGTGCGCATATCCTTCAATAAACTTTCCCTTTTGTACTGATTTAAGGCTGGTGGACGTTCTTTTAGCGGATCGAGCCAAATTAATTAGGAGACCGTGCACGGCAGATTCAAGGCTGGTGGACGTTCTTTTAGCGGATCGAGCCAAATTAATTAGGAGACCGTGCACGGCAAAGGGCAATAAATAAAATTTGTCCTTACACCCTCTTCCCACCTCAGCTAACAGCCTCACTGGACCTCCCTGGGCCTGCTCTCGAAGGCCATTAAAACTGCCTCCCTCTGCAGGGAGCTGAGTGTCACTCTTCCTGTTCTGGCTTGTACAGTTTACATTGCATATTTTTTGAAGAAGTTTATATACCTTCTTGGAAGTCACTGTGGAAAGAGTCAGAAATCAGGACAGTCTTTTCCTTAATATCCATTTAAAATTGAATCATTTCATGTTAGTGGGACTGTTAACTTATCACCAAGCAAGACTATTTATAACTACTTGTGGCCTAA